TGGAAGTTTTTTAATTATATGGACAAAAACAGTTCTTCAAAATATCTTATTTTGTTCAATCTGGAAATCTGTTCTCACAAGAGGAGTGAAAATATGCCTCAAACAAAGTAGTTTGATGGCTAGTATTTTTTATCACTCTGTCAATCTTTGACATAAGGCCCTTTATTGTGCATCTCTATGAGTGGGAGGATGGATGTGGTATTAAACAAAAAGCTCTGATAAGGTTGTGCAGAGGAAGTGCTCTTTGCGCCAATCCCCTACTGACTTCCACGATCCGTCCAGGCATTTCCCCTCCACAGGAAACGCCCTCACCAGGGAACATATACGGAATGTTGCCTTTTGTTCACAGAGAGAGATAAGTGCTGTGACAATACTCCAAGTGGGGTATTTTTGCATCCTCTCGCCATCGAAAGGAGGTTTATCAAAACGAAGGGTGGGTAATGCGCTGTCTCCATCTCTCAGCTGGTCCTACATCTGGTCCAATGACTCATTGTCTACTCCCTGCAGGAAAAGTGGGCTTAACTTCCCATCTATCTTTTAAGACTACATATCACCACTTTCTGTGCCAAATATTGCAATTCTTCTGAGTAATGTGCATGGTTGTGAAAGGACTGACGCTCTTTTGCATAAGCATAGACATTTATCAGGCCGAACACAATCAACCCATACTTTCATTACACTTTCACAGGTCAGCCTAACACTTTTTAGGCAAAACCTTAGAAATTTTCTCTGAAATCCATAGGTTTGACATATAAGCAGTCCTTTCTAATTTAAACGTATAATATGTCTAAAAAACTAATTATGTGTAGATTTTTAAATGCGTGTTTTTTTGTTTTTGTTTTTCATAGGTGCCTGAGATACCATATGTTTTTGCACTGTCCCTTTATAAATACTAGTAAAACTTGTAATAATGAATTATTATTTTAATAAATAGCCCTGTTTGTTCAACATATCAGATTAAATTAAACTAGAAACACACAAAGACAGATTTTATATGTTTATATATATTAGTAACAGTGGTACTGTATGTGATAAATGTAACAGTAAATGAAAAAGCTCTATAATATAAATACATTTTATGTGTGCATAATAATGTTTGTCAATACAAAACAAATATATCTTCAGATTATTACTATATGTATGCACAGCAAGACAAGTTAATAAGAAAAACACAATTTAAACTCTCCAAAGACGATCCAGTTCGAAGAATATCACTGTCATTGTTCATATTGTTGAATTATATACTTAAAATACAAAAATCGTTTTAAATCTGTATTTTAATGTTTTTTAAATATCACTATTAAAACAGGGCCAAAAAAAAAAAAAGTAAATTCTGAAGGAGAAATAAGTGTTCAAAAAAATGTGTGACTTTTTTAAAATGATTTAATGTAAATGAAATTACATGACCCTAAAATCAAAAGGTTTTTTACTGTGCATAACTCACTCAACATATCCATGTTTAATGTAAATAAAACTGTTCATTCTTTTAGGAGGAAATTGAGGGCTAAATTGTGCATAAAGTGTACCTGATACAGCAACTAAGAGTATTTATTACATTATTGTGCGGTATAATTATTCCTGCTCTCCCATACCCTACTAACAGGCTAAAACTTCCTTATTTCTCCTCTGAATATGTATTAATAACAACAGGGCACATAACGACAACCTTAACTTTAATTCACCACTGACTTTCAAGCATCACCTCAGAGAGCAATCAATGAAATGTGCGGTCCTGTTGACTTCACTAAACCAAAAACATCTGCAGGCTGTCTTGCTGTATTACATGTTTGCAATGGCAACATTATAAAAGCATGAAATTTGTATCACAAAATTGGTGTGGGGTTACAAACCAATACTGGCCTTGAGATAAAGGAGAAGCAAAGCCAGCTCTCCATGACTGGAGTCTCAGACCTGCTGTTTAGCCACCGGTAAAGGGAACAACCATAGGGCTTAATTTCAAATTCAAGCACGGTTTGTAGGAGGCTCTGTTTACCGGACAGTGAAGAAAATAATGCAAAATGGCTCAAGTATGTCATCATTTTTAGGTCTTACAGGGATTCTGGTGCTCTTGCCATTGTACATATTATTTGAGCCTCAAACAGTAATGCATGATGCACTGGCATAGAACTTCCTATTAATTCAAATGTTGAACACATCTGGGAAACAATATCTAATTGTTCCATCCATCCAATATCTCATCCATCAGGCTGTCAGGAAGCTGAACTCCCTCCCGACCTTGCCCCCCCTCCCCTCTTTTGCCCCACGCACCACTGAACTCTGACCCTCTAACGGACTCTCCCACTCCCCCCTCCCAAATACACACACTTTAATCAGTCTGAATAAGCTCTTTTGCACTACAAATCATTTTTTTGCACTACTATCACTATTTCTGCACTGTTGTTTACTTTACTGGTTTGCACTCTATCTGCCATATGCCTTGTGCTTTATATATATATTTTTACATTTGACCTTATTTGTATATTTGTATAGTTGTATTTTGTATTTAATCTGTATTTATGTTATCTGTATGCACCCAAGGGTCTGAGAGTAACGCAATTTTAATTCTCTGTGTGTATGTCCTGTACATGTGGAAGAACTGACAATAAAGCAGACTTGAACTTGAACTTAATGTAAACCCGGAAATGCAAACAGACTTTGAATTTTTTTTAAATAAAAACAACATTTAAATCCCACTTAAAATGTCACTGTCATTTTTCTCAGCTGTTAGATGGTGTAAACTGTGTATGATGGTCTATGACTGACATTTTGCAGTGTTATTGGCAGATGTCCATGCATCCCATAATATTGCAAATAAACCTTCACGTAAAACACTAGAAATAACTATGGCAGAATTTGATCACCATACATAATTATTCAAGTTTATATTGAGTTTAGTTGCATAAAAAACTACATAAATGTGCATTGGGTTGCTATGATTGCACATTGCAATGTGGTTGCTAAGTGTTCTGGGTGGTTACTAGGCGTTTGTTTACTGGCCCCAGTCAAAAGCCTCTTGGCTTGTGTCCTTCCTTCATTTACAGAATTCTAACCTTGGCAAGAATAACAACTAATAATATTAAACAGAAATTGAGGTACAAAAAGTTGATTTTAATAGATTATGGAGGGCTGACAACTCAGCCAAAATCAAAAGAAACATTCAAGACATTGTCAGCACACTGCACACACACACTTTCAATGGTGACCAAAGATTAATTTCAAACATAAATGGATCTAAAATAAATGTAGTCCAACTCCAATAACTTGGAGTTATTGAGAAGTAACAGCGGCACGTGACAATGAAAACGTGACATAATGATCAACAAGTTTTGGCACACTGAACAAAGTATGATAAAGAATGACTGATGTATCAAACGCACCATCAGACCATTTGCTCTGTCTTTTTTTGTATGGAGACACCCTATTTTATTATAGCATTGAGAAATACTGAAAAGTTGGACAATGTGACCTTGTTCTTGCTCAATGAATCCATTCTCCTCTGTCCTTCACACTTTGGTGCAGGAGTATTGCTATAATGTACCTCCTCTGAACAGGTGATATATTTACAGCCCTTGATTAAACGTGCATATGTTTTCACTCTCTCCAAAGATATGCAAGTCTTTTCGATTTGCAATGTCACAGAAATGTATTTCTGAAAAAAAGATAAAGAAAATAATCCAAAAAACAAGAAAATTGCTCAAATTATTCACGCCACTTGTAACCCCCACCAGCCCAGCACGAACACTTCTTAATGTCACTTTTTGCCATATTATGTTCACACAAACACAGAACAGCAGAAGATTACTCTTGATTACATTTACCAATCCTTCCATTAGAGTTTTATCATCTTACTACAATTGTTATTCATTTATTAAACTGTCAAAACGAGGTAAGTTCTGATCGGTTTAGTCAAGACAGACAACTTGAAAACAGACAAACAAAACTGAGTGTTCAAGTAGATATTCCTGCTTTAAATTTACATTCATGTGGTTAGATGGGTGACCAATACAGTGTCATTTCTCTTATGACATATGTACAATCATATTTGGCCACCATCAAGCTGAACAGGTGCTTTAAACCAATGTCTCGTCTGTCGGTTTTGTTGCATTAGGCTCATATGCCTAGGCCAAAATTAACTAATGTCAAATAAAACCTGTAATACAAATTTCTGACAAAAATGAATGAAATATAATGCTTTCGCATTTGATATCTATACAAATTCTGACAGATTCTCATCATATCAGACACTTTGAGGAATATTTTGAACAAGCTAAGACCCCTGCACTCTTATACACTACAAAAATATTTGTGCAGGTGTCAAGCACAGTTGGTGCGACACAAAAAACAAGTGATCATTTGAAAAGAAACCCAAGCAATGGTAAAATCCCCAAAGGATTGTGGGATTTGTTTTTTCATGCCCAGGCAACCATTATACACTGCATTTTAAAGATTGCGCACACACTTTTTTACGGCATAGTATGCAACACAACGTTTTTCAGGCACACTTCTTCAATGCACACAGAATACTGTGCAATATCAAAGATGATGTTTTGAAGACAAGTTACTCTTCATGTCTTCAGACAGTGATTCGCTTGAAGTCCATAAGCTCAAACTGGGAAGTCTGGACAGCAGGAGTGTTTGCAAGTTGCAGAGGAAATCATCCAGCAGCAGATGGTTTCACTTCCTGCCTGCACTTTAGATGAAGCACTTTAAGCAAAAGGTCGACATGGTAAATATTTGGTTTCCTCCAAACACCTGGTTTGGAGTGCCAGGTCAAAAAAACCTTCACAGTGAGCATAAAGTCACATGTGGACATTAATGCAACACGCCTCGTACTCTTTGGAAAGACACTTTTGTATTGTTTCAAGTTTTGTCTGTGAGGCTGCAAGGCTTCAAACGTTCCCATGTCTGTTAATTATGCCATCAAAGGTGAAGCATGATGGGAACACAAAAGAGGAGAAACACACTAACTCTCTACTGCTGTACCTATAATGAAGCATCAGTCAGTAGGATGGTGATTCAAGGCTTTTTGCAGGCAGTTTCTTTGGCTTTCCCGTTGGTGCTGGACTTGAGTTGGGTCATCTCCACTTCAGCCATGGCATCCGAAGGTAAACTGCTATGCATGCGCTCAATGGTCTTTTGGTAGGAAGCTTTCTCCTGTTCCAGAGAACGGATCAGGTGCTTCATCTTGCTCTCGCGTGACAGGAAGCTCTCCATGCTGCCCTCCAATGTCTGAATCTTCAAACGAGCTGCCTGTTAATAAAGCCAAACAAAAGAATTGATGAAGGAATCTTGTGAAGAAACTATGCCCACATTTTTGTCATATACACTACTGTTGAGGTAGTTTGGGGTTAGTAAAATATTTGAAGTCTTACCAAGACTGCATTTATTTGATTAAAAAAAAACAGTAAAAACAGTAATACTTAGAAATATTTTTACAATTTAAAATTATGGTTTTCTATTTTAATATATTTTAAAATGTGATTTATTCCTGTGATGCCAAAGCTGAATTTTCAGCATCATTACTCCAGTCTTCAGTGTCACATGATCCTTCAGAAATCATTTTAATATGCTGATTTGATGCTCAAGAAACATTTCTTATTATTATCAATATTGAGCTGCTTAACCATTATGTTTTCATTGAGGAATATAAATTTAAAAAACTAATGTAATGTATATGAAATAGTTTTTCAATACAAAAACAAATGTGTGTATATGTATATATATATATATATATATATATATATATATATATAT